GACCATATAACCTGATGCTAAATGAAATGAGCCCCAAGTCTTTCCATTTCCTAACAAATGGGGCAATGATATTAAGTGAAGTAAGCCAGGCCCAAAGAAACATAGGTTCGATGCTTTCCCTTATTTGTAGTAACTAGTATATGTCTGAGACAAGCAGAAATGGTCAGATAAGTTGATGTTAGGCAAAATGAACCCCAAGATAAGGACTCAAATGTTTTTGTTTTCTTGCTATTGTTTCTAACATATTTATAAGATGATTTCTTTGTTGCTTTGTATGTCCCTCCCCCACAGTATAACCCCTGCTTTCACTCGATTTGATGTTGGTATAATTTGTGGAGGGGAAGGGAAAAAACAAATCATTTAAGGATACAGGTGGACCCATTGCAACAATGAGATGTACAAGTTGTTATGTTGAAAAACGAACTTTACAACTTTAGCTAGGGGAGCAGGGCAGAGGTGGGAAGGGAGGAGGCAACAATGCTTGATAAGAAATGTACTCATTACCTTGCCCATGTAATTATAATCCCTCTGTACGGTATTTTCACAATTAAAAAAAAAAAGAAATGAACCCAAAGATAGGGACACAAGAGGTTTTATCTTTGCTGATGTTCTTTTTAATCTACTTACAATGTACTATGTGATTTTTTGTTGTTGTTTCTTTGTATGTTCTTCCCCCATGGTACAACCCCTATTGTTACTGTATTTGATTCTGGTGTCCTGCATCTTGTATATACATTTTTCTAATTTGGGGAAGGGAAGGGAAATAATAAAATGTTGAAATAAGGATACAGGATGACCCATTGTAATAATGAGATGTACAAGACAGTATATTGAAAACAAACTTTACAACTTTGCAGGGGAAGAGAGGGAAGTGGGGGGAGGAAGACTTGGAGAGGTGGGGCGGGAAGGGATGGTAGGGGAAAAACAAAGGAGGGTGTAACAACTCTTAATAGGAAATGGACTCATTACCTTTCTCCTGTAACATAACCATTCTATACAGTATCTTTACAATAAAAGTTATATATTAAGAAAAAAAGCTAGGCCAAATACTTAATCCAAATTGTACTTCTAGCCCCAAAAGGCATTACTCTCCAATCCTATATATCCTTTCTTTAATTGTGAAATAGACTTGACCCTATAAAAAGTAGGAATGTTATTGAAACTGTGTTGCTAGGATGAATATGTTCCAAACTTGTGCTTATTGTCAAAAAATGATTTATGACAAGTGCTCAGTCAAAATAAATGCAATGACCACTGCAGGAGGTGCTGCCTCTGGAGCCTCCACACAGACTCTTCTTTCTTTCATTAACTTCAGCTTCTGGTTGCCATAGCATCTGATGACAACCATAGCTTTGGGGAATTATCTCTATCTACCCTCATCCTACTCTAAGGACATGATTCAAGCAACCAAAATAATTAACAAATAAAAACTCCATAAATAATGCTACAGCTTTGTAATCTGTTTTACTTACTTTTTGTCTTTTTTAAAATTATAAATTCCCACCTGGGGAAAAATTGGAAAAATAAAGATATTTGTTCCCTGATAAAAACAAATGCCTCCTGGAAAGATAAGTGATTTTTAAAATCAATCGTTGAAGATTAAAAAAAAACAACAGCATGACTAGGAACAAATCAATAGATAATTATAAATTCATCAAAATTAATCTGTTTCCTTTCCACAGGAACAAATTAAGCAAATTTGAAAGTAAGTTAGAACCATCTTATTATTTTTTAGTGTTACTACTACCAGGAATACAAAGTACAAGTTAGTGTTTGTAAGTAAGCTACACTAGGATGTAAAATTGGGTGGGTTTTTGTTTGCACCCTTCTTCTTAGTTAGAGCTTTCCATGGTTGTTCTTTTTATTGTTTCACTGGTTTTTAGAAATTGTACTCTACATCTTTTAAACATACTCATGGGTTCTTTGAAATAGATTTTTGAAATCAAAACAAAGAGGTTAAAACATTGTAGAAATATTATCAAACTAGTTTGCCTCATACCAAGATGTTGATAGATAGTGTTATAAATAAGTGTTTCCTATCCCAGGAAGAAAAAAAATGACATACAATTTTAAGAAGGAGATACAAAGTCCAGGAAGATGAAAGTTTACATGTTCATATTGAATCTCATTCTCCCAAAACATAAAGTACATTCTGAGAAAAAGAAGTATTATGCTCTTTGACAATAGAAAGATTTCTTTTTTTTCTTTCTTTTTTTTGGGGGGGTCAATTGTGTGGCTTGACTCTGGGCCTGGGCACTGTCCCTCAGTTCTTGGCCAAAAGCTAGTGCTTTACCATTTGAGCCACAGTGCCACTTCTGGCTTTTTCTGTTTATGTGGTGCTGAGGAATCAAACCTAGGGCCTCATTTATGTGAGACAAGCACTCTATCGCTAAGCCACCTTTCCAGCTCCAGAAAGATTTCTTCAAGACCATAAGATATCTAGTTAAGAAGATACTAAATAACTTATTCCCTAGCTTATGGAGATACTATTCTGTATTCCCTAAATTTTAAACTTCTCCAACTTAAAAATGTAATTTAAAAAGAGAAATCATACTAAATATTTTAACAGCATCATTCAGCTGCAATAGTCATACGTAAAAGTAAGAGAATTAGGCACCAGTCAATTCACATGAACTGCTCTCAAGCCATTCACTGGGCTGTAGAAAGCATTTGACTGCTTAGGGATCCCCTTTCTCACAGTCTACTTTCTTTATGTGCTTTCTTTCCTCATTCTTCCCTAGGAAATGACTAGCTAATGTCTTTGCAACATAATGCTTAGGAACCTTGCCAGAAATCCTGGTAAAAGTTAAAAAAAAATCATATTTGAGAGGAATGGCATTGCAGCTAAAATATGATGATTTGTTAAAAATAAAAGATTTATAATGAGTCCAGCTGAAACTAACTTCAGTGACTGCCCAATAAGTAAAGAGTATAATATATTTTTAGAAAGATGTCATTCAAAAATAATTTTATAGGCTTCAACCACAAACTTAATGATTTAGAAGTTTACTTACTCCAAAGTTATTCATTAGTGTCAATTGTGAAACACTGCTACAGTTAGATCTTGCTGTATCATCTCATTTAATTATTGTCTTGGTGATTAAGTATTTATTGCCCTCACCTTAAAAAATAAGTACTGGAAGACAATCTGGAATTAGATCTTCTCTATATTTATTTTTATTTTATTGTGCTTATTTTATTGGAAAGGGGATGTATAGAAGGATTACATTATATAAGTAAGGTAATGAGTACATTTCTTTTCAAACAGTGTTACCCTCTCAATACTTTTCTTTAGCTTTCCCTCCAAGTTGTAAAGTTCATTTCCAACATAGAGTCTTTGGGGGGGGGGGAAGGGGGTGTGGGTCCCGGGGGTTGAATTCTGGGCTGGGTGCTGTCCCTGAGCTTTCAGCCCAAGGCTAGTGCTCTAACACTTGAGCCACAGCGCCACTTCCAGTGTTCTGGTGGTTAATTGAAGATAAGAATCTCATGGCCTTTCCTGTCCATACTGGCTTTGAACCGCAATCCTCAGATCTCAGCCTCCTGAGTAGCTAGGATTACAGGCGTGAGCCACCAATGCCTGGCTCCAACATAGTGTCTTGTGAGGACTGCTGTTAGAATCCTTAGTCCCATCATTTCTGTGATTCCTTGTCCCTGTTTTTATGACTATTTTCCAGAATACTTTTTTCCCCCTTTAAGTAACTAAGATTATATAACAGAGCTCACCAAATACAGAAAAGTGGTCATTTAGAACTCCAAAAACATAATGTGAATGATTTCTTCTTATGTCTTTCAACTATACAATGTATCAAGTTGAGATCTTTATATGTAGAATGAAAAACAAAAGCCTACATTTTCAGAGAAGTTCTGTGATGCTCAACCATGGAGACTTGACTGTTGTGTTACATTCCATTTGTATAGTTATATGTGTATCTTCTCAATAAACAAGCAATAACAGAGATATTAAATGCTGTGTAATATCATCATTATATTTAATTTGCTCATTGATCTGGTTCAACTTCTGATGAAATCAAGAGTGAGTATACACATATAAATACACTAAAGAATTTCCACATGTAGGCTGCAAAAAGCACAGTTCTTTTTCCTGTAGTACTGTATGTTATCAAATCATTTACAGTATATAGTTTATATGGTCAAGATATTTTTAACTTACACATTTTCAATATTGTAATAATCTGTTTAGTTCAAGTAGTTCTAATAGAAATGGATTTGCCTGAGAAAAATAGGCTAAATTCAGTATATTACTTGTTTTCATAGTTTCCAATATGTCAGTTTTTGCAAGGTATCTGTGAGCTATTTCTGTTTGACATAACTCTTGCCTATTGTTTTGTATGCACATTTCATTTTCTGAGTTCTTATGGAATGAGAATTAAGTTTAGAACTTAAGAGTGCCGGGTGTGTATAACCATTGAGAACTATCAGTTGATTGGCCTTGAGAAATCCAGTGATTTTCTATGATTGTCTCTGAGCTTTTACTTCTTAATGATAAATTAGAATAGTAATTGCTTTCCTTTTCTTTTTCTTTCATCTGCCAGTACTAAGGTTTGAACTCGGTGCCTCACTCTTGTTTGCTGGGATGGCTCTCTAATATTTGGCTCATGCTTACTGTTAGTTTTTAGTTCTTTGTTTTGGGGATGGAGTCTGATAGACTTTTCTAACTAGGTGTGCTTCTTACCAACATTCTTCATATCTCAGCCTCCTGAGTAGCTAGGATTAAAGGGGTAAATTTGCTTTTGGCAATTTCTGACCGGATTCATTAAAATGACTTCTAGTACTGTGATCAATTAAGTTCCTTCTTTTCAAATCAAGAAGTGAGTATAATCATAATGAAATCTTGAAATAAACTGTCCTCTGGAGATGGCCTTGGTTTGTATAAAATGAAACTAATAAATGTAAATATCAATGTAGCAAGTGGTAGGTGTAAAATCTATAGTATTGTATGGCTCTTAGTATTTGGGGCATAAATAAGTTAGCATCCTTACCTGTTGGTGGAATTATCCCAGGAGACATGAGGCCAGGGACAGAATGTGGCATGATGTGAGAGTTCTCAGGGGAGGTGACACTTTGAGTCCTCTTAGGAGGCCTTCCAGGTCTAGAACTGAAACAAACAAACAAAAAATTTTACAATTAAGCTGTTGTCTTACACATCATTTCAAAGTTGTTTCAAGTGGTAACATGGACTGTAAATAAATTTGTTTCAAGGACGGTTGCTTTTGCAGTTAGATGTAATAGACTTCCATCACTAATTAGATTACATGCTGAATTCATTTTCCTCATTGAAGATCAGCCACTCCTGATGCATAATTCATGGCCTGTACCTCGTTACCTGCTTCTTCATATTAATATCTATACACAGTTTGAATTGCCTCGTTTGCATATGCTAAAGTTCTGCATGCAGCCTTCAGCACGAAAATTATGCACTAACTTGTAATAATTATTACAGTCAGCCTGCTATTGATTTATGAGACTTTTAAAAACCAAATATGTGTAGTACTTGTAATGAATGATATTTTAAGGTTCTTCAGGAAATTAAAAGGCAATGGCTGCCTAAGGAAATGTTCTGCTTGTTTGATTTAATACTACAGTTAGCTGGGAGGTGGAATGAAAGAGTGATTCAGACCTATAGCACATTTTTCGATGATATGTTTTATTACTTCGCACTGCTAGCCTGATATCTCGATGATAAATGACAATACATATCTAATGTGTGAAAAGGTCTTGCAATTTCTTTATTTTTTTGTCATTTAAAAGATAAGTCAAGTTATCATTTAACCCTTATTCTGTGTAAGTGAACATTCCCACTGAGCTACCTAACTTCGAATATATTAAAATAAATGAGAAAGACATGGAATATTTGTAGGACATCATTGGGAACCTGCCTGGGTAGCTTCTTTTATCTGTTGTTAGGGTAAATAAAGTGTATTTATGTTTTAGAGTATTTATCCTTTACATGTCTGCTGTGCTATACTATTTTTTTGTAAAAGCAGGTGAAGTATTAGAAAAGTATTCACTACTTCATATGAAAATAACATAGAATATATTGTTCACATTTTATTAAATAAACAAGCATTCTGAGCACTAAATTTTCACTTTTCTCCTCTGGATTATTAGTGGGCTTTTATGAAATACTCTTCCATCACTTATTTGGCCAACAGGAGCCTCAATTCAAAACAATTAGATATGCCAATTATAAATAAGCATTTTCATGTTTGTCTCAGCTAAGCCCCTTTGCCTCATCAGAAGATTCAAAAATTCCATTTCTTTTATTTTGTGTAAGTATTACATGTGGTCATTGAACAAATAATTACTAAGTACCTGCTGTTTGCAAAGCAGTGAGCTATGGAGGTTAATTTGGGGGAATGAGTTCTTAGTTTTCAGGAGCTTGTACTCTTGCCAAAGGGAAAGAATCTGGTGCATAAATAACCATAATGCAAATTGTAATGTGCTAATAACTCCCATAAGAAAGTTGCAATCTGGATACTAATTGGAATTTAGGTTTGATGATGATACTTCCACATTCAAGGAACAAAGATGGCAGTGGGAACACTAGAAGAATTTCAAAAAAAAAATTTTAAAGTTAAATCTGGAGAATTCCCACTTCAGTGATAAGGTAAGAAAAGGAAGAAAGTATAAAAATGTATGAAATTAAAAAAAAAAACATTTCAAGTACACCAAAATGCCCTGAAAATCACAGGAATCAGAGAGTAAGTCTGCTAGACTTATTGTCTGGGATCAGCTCAATGGAGGTGTTTAGAACAAGAGGAAAGAAATTATAAGCATGTTTGTTTTGTTAACTAACAAGTATAGTCTCTTTGTTGTTCCAAAGTGTCTCTTCAGCTGCTTCTTACTTTTCATTATTACTCTTCATCTTCAACTGGCTTTTTATCTTTTATTATTTGCCTAGAATCAATCAACAGCCTTTAGATAGCCTCCATTCTTCTAGAGTGAGCTCTTTGCTTGTCATCACTTAAATAAGAAAGACTAATGGCTAAATACACATCTCCTGCCCAGATCTTCCTCTTGGGATTCAGAGAGATTGATACCTATCTACTAGATCTCCATTCCTAGATGTTTTATATGATATCAGACATGGCTTGTCCACATCTGATCTCAGCATCAGCCCCATTAACCGATTGTTCTTCCCCTAGTTCAGCAAAATGGTCACTAATTGAATGAGCCAAAAATCCAGGACTTGGCTGCAACAATTCCTTCGCATGCACTCTTAAATATCATTTCTGTAATGCTAACTCCTTAACCCATTCTCTAGACTGCATCCCCATTCCTACATTCCATTTCCTATTTCTACTACAGTTAACGCTTTCCAATCTTACCCCCAAATCTACCTCCAACTCTGTCCCATTCTAGATCCTAGAATCTAGACAATTCTTCAGGTTGATTTCAAAAGGATTTTTCTAAAATGCAAGTTTAACCATGCTTTACATTTGATTAAAGGTATGAATGGCTCCTTACTAGACCCAAAAAACCTTGTCTTGACCCCAAGCTCTAGTAATTGTTCCCTCTTTATTTTTCTGATTTCAACCTTTCAGTCTTACACTTGGACTTACTTTGGCACTGTTGCACTTCTCACCATCTTGCTTTGGCTACCTAAATGTAATCATTTTAGGATGACAAGCATGAGTTCCCATGACTTTCTTAAATGTCATGGATTTCTTTGGTCTCTATGGAATCTCTATAAATGTTTTCTCCTTAGTCAATATATTCACAACAATTCATTCTTACCTCCATATTATCTACTTAACCCTTAATCTTGCTCCTTACTAATCATTTAAGTTTTAGTGTTTTCCATGTACTATATATGCATACTATGTGTATGTAGTGCACAGTGCTGTGTTCTATGATAGTCATACTGTACAGATTACAGTAATCTAGGTTTGTTTACTTCCCCAAATGACATGCAAAATGTACCTAAAACTCACTCTTTTCACCTAAATGAAATTTCACCTAGTTTTGACACAAAAACATAAAAAGTATTTTATGTTTTACTATATTTTGAAGCAAAAATCTCAAATTCCTCAAATACCTTGTCTCATGGATTCCAGTAAATAATAGTTCCAAGAAATTAAAAAGTATCTGAGAATCCTTAAACATATTTCTAAACAGACACTAAGGTAGCAAGAAAGGGAAGTGAGATGCCAGAGAGATCTCTAGCAAGGTGTTGTAACAATGGAAAAGGAAACTGAAGTTAAAATATTTGAATATTTAGCCCTTTGATCTGTTTTTGTGTTAAAGAAAATGAAACTGTTAAAGAATGCTTTATTATTCAACTCACAGGAGTTGTCTACACCTCACAGCTTTCACTCAGAAAGTAGAAGGCAGGCTACTAAGTAGCTACACTTTAATTCATGCTGTGATTAGAATAGACCCAGTGGGCTTCTTCCACTGCAGGTATTTCCTACCCATTCTATCACATTGCTTCAAATTCTACCAATAGATATTTGTTGCTTTCAGAATAGGAACTCAAAGTTCTTTTAAAAAATAAAAGCAAAGAACTTCCATTAAAAAGCAAATATCCTTGGTGGTTTCACTTTACAATTAGGTAAGAGTGAGGGAAGAGGTGAAACTGACAACATTCAAAAAGAAATTCACTCATTAACTGCCTTATATAACTGAAATCCCACTGTACATCAACTTCACAATAAAAATTAAAAAAATCAAACAAAACAAGCAAATTTTAAGAAAAGAGTATTAAGGAACTTAAAGAAAAGACTGAAAGGGGTCAAGAATACTAGGAACTCTATAAGGAGTCAAGAACTCTATAGAGAGTTATACATCTTATTTGAGAGAGAATAAGAAAAATTAACAAGATGCCTCCCTCCACTTTCATGAATTACACTTAGATCCTTTTACTGACAGCCTGTTACTGTAAGGTGACCTTACAGCAATCTTGGTCCCTACAGAGGGTCTCTAGTTTCTATGAGAACCTATTAAGATAACTGAATCATAAAATACTTCAAATATTAAAATTTCTTTCAACAGTAACTTACAGATTTCCAAGAAAACAGATATTGTACTGCAGCCAGAGGCATGTATTTTATTGCCTGAACAGATAGACTAATAATACTTGCCTATGAAGTTATTAAAAGGTTTAGCCTTAAATTATCTAACTTTTCTAATGAAGATGTTTTTATAAGCAAATGCTCAGTATGATTTCTACAGAGGTAATTATTGTTGGAAAGAAAAAAAATACTGAGAAGAGAGTGCAAAACAACTGATGGAAGGACTTATTTTAGAATGGCCAATTGCCACAATGGTAGCCATCTTCAGTTCTGCCTTATCTCCAACCGTGAGCCAGTTCTCTCCCAGAGAAGAGAGCACACTGAATTCTAGTCCTAATCAAACACCACACCTCACTTTTACCATTACCCTTACTAGTCTGAACACAATCAGAATTTAAGACTTTCTCATTGTTTTGCTAGCTTAACCCATTAGCTACACTGCAGCCATTAGTAAGTATTTTCCACAATCTCCATGAAAAGGGCCATGAATTAGGGATGTCCAAATCCACACTTAAGTATTTGCAACACTTAGGAACTCAGACACAGTCTTTCAGAGGCCATTCTTAATTTTTAAAATTAAACAAATTTTTTTTAATCTCTTCTTTAAAACAATTCACCCTGGGTGGTCTTCTTTCAGGACAACTCAGACTTAACTTGTTTCTCTCGAATGCTGGTTGAAGATTTACCCACACTTTCCACTCAATTTGTTATTAGAGAGCACTCTTCTCCCCCCTGCCATGAGGCCTGGCTCTGGGACCAGGGATGCACATTTATCATGTGTATCATTTGTTTTAACTTCTTCAAGATAATGCCAAAATTCAACTTCAAAAAAAGGAACACCAAAGTGATATGAAGCTAAGTGCATTGAAAGAATGAGTATCACAGCATGCTAGTTGGCTCATGCCTAGCTACTCAAGAAGCTGAGATCTGAGGATGGCAGTTTGAAGACAGCCTGCACAGGAAAGTCCCTGAGACTTTTATCTCCAATTAACCACCAGGGAACCGGAAGTGGCCCCATGGCTCAAAGTGGTAGAGGGCCATCCTTGATGTAGCACTAGAACCTCATGGACAGTGCCCAAGC